TCAATGATTATGTTGTATAAATGCAGGCAGAACCTAACTTTTAAGATAAATTGCACTCTAAACATTTTTGCTTGTAAGTGGGGTTTTGCTTAACTTATCAGATAGGCAAAACTCAGAATTAATTTATAATTTATAAGAATGAGAAGTTCCATGCCTTCAATTAAGTACTTTGCATTTATTATTTTATTTAAACTTTATACAATTAAGAAATAGAAATTATCCTTGTTTTATAGAGGAGGAAACAGGCTTATGGGTGAGGTAACCTATTCAAGATTAAAGAGTGGAAGATGATGGAGATGGAATTTGAGCAAAATCTGCCCTAAAAACTGTAGTCTTTTAAATACTTTGAAGGAAACATGCCCAATATAATATATTTATTTATTTATTTATTTTGCCCAATACAATTTAGAACATTGTTCTTTAAGGAAATGTGATTGCCACAGCGGTAGGCACCTGCTTAGGTTGCCTTGTACCTAGGCAAGTGTTTCACTGCTGGGAGAAAAGCAGCCAGTAGCTAATAGGCATTTTGGGTCTAGTTAATGCCAAATTTGTGCGTACCATACCAATCAGCCAGCATAGTTGTCTATTCTCTTTCCGTTCTTTCTTTTTTTTTTTTTTTTTTAATTTTAAGGTAGGTAGGGAAGGTGGGGAACAGTAGGCCAAGACAGGCCAGCCTGGGCCCTAGATGGAGGGACTGCAGATTGCCCTGGAAAGGTCATCTGAGGACGTGTTGGAAATGGCTGAGAACATGTTTGACGGGGCGGATTGACTCTGGGGTCTTCCATAGACCAGGCCACTGCACTTGCTGGTAGATGAGAGCTGGTTTAGAGGGGGAAACTGGAGGTCTCCATGTGGAGACCTAAATAGTATTGTCTGCCACCTCCTGCCCACTGGCAGAAGCAGATGCTGGGGCTGTGGGGCATGCCTGCACACAAGTCAGAGCAGGGGTTGGGCCACATTAGGCTGGGCCACAGCAACTATTGCCCTCCTAAACATGAGAGAACTGAATCTGGGGACAGATTCTTTTTTTTTTTTAAAGATTTATTTATTTACTGGAAAGTCAGATATACAGAGAGGAGGAGAGACAGAGAGGAAGATCTTCTGTCCGATAACTCACTCCCCAAGTGAGTGCAACGGCCAATGCTCTGCCAATCCGAAGCCAGGATCCAGGAACTTCTTCTAGGTCCCACACGGATGCAGGGTCCCAAAGCTTTGGGCTGTTGACTACTTTCCCATGCCACAAGCAGGGAGCTGGATGAGGAGTGGAGCTCCATATGGGATTAGAACCGGCGTCCATATGGGATGCTGGCGCGTTCAAGGTGAGGACTTTAGCCGCTAGGCCATGCCGCCGGGCCCTGGGGACAGATTCTATAGGGGACTTGTGGGCTTGCATTTGTGGGATTGTAGCAACTAACCACAGAGACCTGGGGTTGGTGCTGGGTTGAGTCAGTTGAATCACAGAACTCATCTGTACTTGAGGAAGCCAGGTCTAGGAGCTGGGCTGAGCCAGTCTGCTACACCCACAGGCAGTGGCACATATGGGGTCTGGGGCTGGGTGCAGGCCTGATTGGGAAACTTGGGGAACTCTTCTATTAGGCTGAAGTTCCCCCTGGGAAGCACAGTACCCAGGCTGGGCTAGGTTGCAACACCTGCCAGTGAGAGATGATACTGTAAGTGGACCATACCAGGCTGGATTGAAGCACCCACTAGCATGTGTAAGATCTAGGTCTGTGAGTGGGCCTGGAAGGGAAACTTTGGAGACTTCCATGCTAGGCTGCAGCTTCCACTGGTAAGTACGAGGGCTAGGGTTGGAGGGAAACTGGGCTGGGCAAGGCTGCAGCACCTGTTGGCATGAGTGTGGGTTGGGTTTGTGGGATGGCCAGACTTAGCTAGGCTCCAGCGCCTGCTGATGCTTGTGAGAGCCAAAATGGTTGTGGGTCAGGGCATGCTAGGCTGTGGCACCCATTGGTTCACATGAGAGGAATCAGAGCTGGTGGTGGACTTGACTGGGCTAGTCCATAGTACCCAATGGTGAGAGCCAGAACGTGTGTGGGCCAGTTGAGCTAGGCCACAGTATCTGCCAGTGAGTGCCAGGACTGGGGCCCGGTCATGTCAGACTGGACTGCAGCACCTGCAGGCCACCATGAGCTCCAGGGCTAAGAGCAGGTCTTGTAGGGGAACTTGGGGAAGTCTCCTGCTGGACCCAGCTCCTGTGAGTGAGCATGAGAGCTGGGACTGGGGTCAGCTCAGGCCAGGCTGGGCTGCAGCATCCGTTGGCACATGTGTGAGCCGTGTATCATGGCAGGCAGGGTTGGCCAGTCCACAGCACGCACTGGAAGGGGCAAGAGCCAGGATGGGGTGCAGGCCAGGCTGGGTAGGATAATAACACCCATCAGTTCACATAAGGACTGGAGTTAGGCTAGGCTGAGCTACCTGCTGGTAATAACTGGGACTAGGGGCTGGCTGGGCTGAACTAGGCAATAGTACCTGCTGCTGACACTTGGAATGTGCCACCTCAGACTGGGCTGCAGCACCCACTGGTACTTGAAAGACCCAGAGCTGGTAGTAGTCCCGGTAATGGAACTTTAGGGACTCCCATGCTGGGCAGTTGTTTTCACTGGTGACTTTGAGAACTGGGACTGGGGTTGGCTGGTATGGGAATAGATTATGGCAGGCTAAGCTGCTGCAACTGCTGGCACACACAGGGGCCAAAATGGGTGTGGCGTAGCCAGGCTGGACCACAACACCAACTGGCAATTGCTGGGACTGGGCGTGAGTCATGTTGGGCTGGACCCTCTCTACTAGGTATAAGGTCCAGGACTGGGAGTATGCCTGGCAAGGGAACTGTCAGTACTCCGCTTTTGGACTATATTGTCCACTGGTGAGCATGAGAGTCAGGCTAGAGGCAGGCCAGGCTGTTCAAGGCATTGGAATCTGTTGGTGTATGTATAGCCAGGCCTGGGGTGGGTTGGACTGCACTAAGCTGCAGCACCCATGGGTGTGCATGAGAGCCAGATGGGATGTGGAACAGACTCATTGCTGACATATGGTAAAAAAAAAAAAACCAATAAAAATAAAACCAAACCAAACCAAACCAAAAAAATAGGGCTTGGGGCAGGGACTGATGGGGATCTTGGGGATTGCACTGACCAGGCTCAGCATCTGCTGGTTTGCTTGAAGACTGGTCCTGTGGCAGGATGTGGTGTGCTGTGCTAGGCCACAGCACCCATCAGTTCTCATGAGAGACAGAGCTAGGGCGGAATTAACCAAGCAGCTGCATCTACTGGTTTGAGCATTGGCTGGTGCAAGTAACAGGCAGAACCTGACCCTTCACTGGCTGGCACACACCAGTCAAGTCTGAGGTTACCCCAGGCAAGGTTTCTTGGGGTGGACTCAAACCCCAGCCACAGGTAAAATCACAGTATATGTGGTCCAACCTTGGAGTGCATGAATTGGGTGGGACTGGGCCTCCTCAGCTGTTGATGCCTGCGTAATGGATAGCATGCCCAGATGCAAACAGGGGACATGACAGCCAGCTCATGTCTAGGCTAGCATAGGACATCAAGTGCCTGGTGAGAGGATGGAAAACAGAACCAATCGGACCATTCTCCTGGCCAAGCTTGACAACATGTTTCTGAGTCTGTGGCTGTTCTAAGGTGGATATTGGAATTTTCCCAATAGGTTTTAGGGGAAGATTTTCTCAACCCTGCTTCAGATGAAGCTGATGACATCTCAGAACTATCAAAATCACAAAAGTAATACCCTTGGAACACTCTTGTCCACATCGGGGTTTCTAGGGTATCATCATTCCCCCATTCTAGGGTGCTGATGTAGTTTGACCGCAAGGAGTAGTGTCTAGCTTTCGCTCCCTGTGACACAGGAGGCAGAAAAAGTGGGAATGTTTGTCCTGTTCACCTTGCTCTATACCTTGACTTTCCCCACCTCAATCTGAGACCCATATGGATATGCATCCCTCTCAATTATGTAAATATTATTTTAAAAATGTAAAAAAAATTTGAAGAGAAAAGGAAATGTAATTCATGGTATCAGAATCTGTTGACTTCTTAGTTTCGGAAACGTGCAGTTTGTAGCCCAGACACAACCTATCTGTAGAGGTGGCTAATGGTAACTCTGAGGTGACTACTTTCCACATTTATTTCTCTAGGATTCACTCGCCTCGGCAGTTTTTGGAGTGAATTTTGCCCTTTTTGCTTTCTACCCCCTGTGAACAGCGGGCAGGTCTTTTCTATGCATAGGTACTTGGAACACCTTCAGTGTCAGTGCTGATTTCCAGTGGGCAGTGGCATCTTTTGAATGTTGTTGTTTACTGTAGATAATTTTTGTACAAATACACTTGCAAATAATTGAACTAAATGTTCTTTTAACATTTGTTTTAAAAATGTAAGTAGCTTGTTCAAACAAAATTGTAACAGATAAGTAGACTTTAAAGTGGTAATTTTGGGACATGCAGCAAATGGTTTTGTGTGAAAATGACTTTTTCTTGTCTTTTTACTTTCTGAATACTCTCTGTGTGTTCTTTACTAGTCAAGAAAAGATACTGAACATTTCTGTGTTTTGCTCATTACGTTTTAAATAGCAAAAATCAGGGCCCGGTGTGATAGTGTAGTGGTTAAAGTCCTCACCTTGCATGCGCTGGGATCTCGTATGGGCACCGGTTCTAATCCCGGCAGCCCTGCTTCCCATCCAGCTCCCTGCTTGTGGCCTTGGAAAGCAGTCGAGGATGGCCCAAAGCCTTGGGAGCCTGCACCCGTATGGGAGACCCAGAAGAGCTCCTGGCTCCTGGCTTCGGATTGGTTCACTCCCCATTCACTTGGGGAGTGAACCATTGGTTGGAAGATCTTCCTCTCTGTCTCTCCTCCTTTCTGTATATCTGACTTTCCAATAAAAATAAATAAATCTTTAAAAAAAAGTAGTAAAAAGACAAATTGAGTTTTAATAACAAAGTTGCTAAGGTTAATTTACATCTGTGTTTCTTACAGTGAACCTTGCCCTTGCACTAGCAGCGAATGACTCGGTAAGTATTTATTAATACATGCATTGATTCACATATTTCAAGGCAATGGTAGAAAGCACATTAGCCTTGTTAATTACTCTGTTAGAAGCTACAAAATGCATTGTCATTTAAGGCAGTTGCATATCTTTAAAGACTTCAAATGTTGTTAGTCTTGGTTTCATTTAATAATACTGTTTATGTATTTGGATGGTGATTATTTCGTGTTTGCTGTATATCACATAGGAGCTTTTGTGTTCTTGCTTGGAAGCAATGCCTTAAGCCAATTTTCTGATTAAGATTCTCATGTAATAACATGTGTTGTCCCTATGAATTTTAAGTTGAACAATGTCACCCATATATGTTTAGTTGTTAGTTTTAGAAAAATTTGCCTGGTCAGAAATAAGTCTTTTTCAGTATAGGGAAAACTTCTATTTAATGATTCCTTCTTGCAATGTTTGTTCTTTTTCCAGAAACCTTTTAGGTAGATATTGGTTTTATGTGTTTGCTAATTTTTCTGTCATATTCTTCATCTCCTTATCTTTTGTGTTTTGAAAGGTGTCTTAAGAGTATTTCTCATATTGCTGTGTTGGATTTAGGTTTTTTTTTTTTTTAACTTTTCAAGTTACATTTTTCCTGTTTTCTAGAACTGTTTATTTTCTACTTTCTATCTCCTAAAAGAAAAAACAAAAGATGTACCATTTTCTTAAATCTCTCTGAGGATGCTAATTAAAAATGTTTAATGAAACATGTTTCCTTTCATTTCTGATTACTTGCAATGGTGGTTTTCAAAGTGTGACTCTCTGGCTAGCAGAACCTAGGTTTTCTAGGAACTTGTTGGGAATGCAGTCCTCAACCTGCAGAATCAAGAACCCTGGGGTTGGAGCTCTGCCATCTATGTGTGCGTGTGTCTGTATTTTAAGATTTTTTTATTTATTTTCAAAAGTTACAGAGAGAGAGAGAGCAAAAGTCTGCCATTTGCTTCTTCACTTCTCAGATGTTACAACAGCTGGGATTGGGTCAGGTAAAAGCCACGAATAAGGAACTTCATCCACATCTCCCATGTGGATGACAGGAGCCCAAGTACCCAGGCCATGCTCTGCTGCATTTCCCAGGCCATGAGCAGGGAGCCAGATTGAAAGTGGAATGATTGAAATATCAACCAGAGCCTGTATAGGATGCTGGCATTGTAGGCAGTGACTTTACTCATCACGCTGTGGTGCCATCTCTGTTTTCACCAGAGCTGTGAATGATTTGATGCTAAAGTTGGAGAACCAAGGACCTGAATTTTGTTTTTTAAACTTCTGGTTTGCTATTAGCATCCTTTATTATTTATTTTTTCTAGTGCTGATAGTTTAAATTTTTTTTTTTTTTTACATTTTTAAAAAGAATTTATTTGTTTTTATTGGAAAGGCAGATTTATAGAGAGAAGGAGACATGGAAAGATCTTGCATCTTTTGGTTTACTCCTAAAATCACAATGGCCAGAGCTAAACTAAGTAGATGCCAGGAATTTCTCTGGGTCTCCAACGCAGGTGCAGAGTTCCAAGACTTTGGGGCATCCTTCACTGCTGTTGTAGGCCATAGCAGGGAGCTGGATGGGAAGTGGAGCAGCTGGGACATAAGCTGGCACCCATTGGAATCCCAGCACTTGAAAAGTATGGAGTTAGCTAATGAGCCATCGTGCTGGGCCCCATAATGGAATTCTAAAAGGACTATTTAATATGAATAGAAGTGGAATAGAAGTAAGAAAATCACAAAAACTTCAGTCAAGCCATTAGGGTGGATTGCCTAAAAGTTGTGCAAGCATGGGACAACTGGATAGCAGCTTGCAGAATAAAGAAGCAAGACCCACACCTGTCACAGTATACAAAAATTAGTTCTTAATGGATCAAGGACCTAAAGCTACACCCAGAAACCATCATACTAGTAAAGGAAAACATACGAAGCACTCTCCAAGAAATAGGAAGGGGGAATGACTTCTTAGAAAAGATACCAAAATCACAGACAGTCAAAGTCAAAATGAACAAATGGGGGCTACGTCAAACTTAAAAGCTTCTGTACAGCAAAGGAAACAATTAAAGTGAAGAATCAACCAACAGAATGGGAGAAAATTTTTGTATACTACACAAGTGATAGGGAGTTAATATCCAGGATTTACAAAGAGCTTCAGAAATCCAGGGAAAGTTAAAAAAACAAAACAAAACAAAAAACCCTGTGAAAAGATGGGCAATGGAAATTAACAGACATTTTTCAAAAGAACAGATCCAAATGGCTAACAGACATATGAAAAGATGTTCAGGCTCCGTAGCCATCAGGGGGACACAAATGAAAACCACACTGAGGTACCACCTAACCCCAGTGAGACTGGCATATATTCACAACTCAACTAACAACACCTGCTGGTGTGGATGTGGGGAGAAAGGTACCCTTCTTCATTGTTGGTGGAGTGTAGGCTAGTACAACCACTGTGGAAATCAGTATAGAGAGTGCTTAGAGAATTGCAAATAAACCTACCATGTGATCCAGCTATCCTGCTCCTAGGAATATACCCAGAAGAAATTAAAACTATGTATGAGAAGGGGATCTGTAATCCTATATTTATAGCAGCACAATCTGTGATAGCAAAGACATGGAAACAACCCAGATGCCCATCAAAATAGGAGTGGCTAAAGAAACTGGTACGTCTACTCCATGGAATATCATTCAGCCATTAAAAACAATGAAATTATACAATTTGCAACTAGATGGTCCCAAGTAGAGTCCATTTTGCTCAGTGAAATAAGTCAATCACAAAAGGAGAAATGCCATATATTTTCTCTAATAGAAGGAATCCAGCATGCAAATTGGAATGTATAGTGGTGGAGTAATGAAGAGCACCATATCCAGAAGTGAAGATACAATGCAACATGCATCTCTGCTTCTAAACAAAAGATGGACTTCCAACGAAAGTGTTGGACATATCTAGACAATGGGATGATGGACTGTCTGACATTGTCTGTACCAGTATTGTTGGGGCACACTTAAATAGCAGACTGATGGAATTGTAACTTATTATGGAGAGTGGGAATCAACTGGGGGTAAAAATGGGGGGAAAGGGAATCTCAGACTATACAAAATTGTATGATAAATTTCAAACATAAGAAATAAATAAATTAAAGAAAAAAACTAAAAAAAAGAAGTTGTGCAAGCTGAGGCTCTACCTATATCAAAAGAGAATATCCTGGCCTATCTATGGGTAATGTTTAGACGAAATTGAGAGAGAGGTGGAATAACAGTGCTGCACGTGACAAGCAGCCGGATGGAAAGAAGGCCACTAAGCTGAAGGAAAAATAGGAAAAGGACATGGCTGCATGCTGAGCCAAGGGAAAACCCGATGCAGTAAATAGGAGGGTATCAAGGCTGAAAGGAACAACAGCAAGAGAATAGATGAGGAAGAGGAAAATGAGATGCTGCTGATGAATAAGTTTATTTCCTTGTTCACAAACAACCACCTTTTACACAAGCCTTTTAAAGAAAATAATTGAAATGTAAGGCTGCGTAAGATTTGTTTTTACCGTACAAGTGTTTTTTTCTTTTTGTATAGTTAACACACTAGATAGCCCTTTCCTTGTGATATTTTCATTGTCTGCGAGTTTAACCTAGTACGATGTAGGGATTGTAAATTGGCATGGGAATTCTTTTTTTAAGATTTATTTTGTTTTTATTGGAAAGTCAGATATACAGAGAGGAGGAGAGACAGAGAGGAAAATCTTCTGTCTGATGATTCACTCCCTAAGTGACCGCAATGGCCGGTGCTGCGCCAATCCAAAGCCAGGAGCCAGGAGCCAGGAGCCAGGAGCCAGGAGCCAGGAGCCAGGAGCCAGGAGCCAGGAGCCAGGAGCTTCCTCTGGGTCTCCCATGCGGGTGCAGGGTCCCAAGGCTTTGGGCCATCCTCGACTGCTTTCCCAGGCCACAAGCAGCGATGTGAAGTGGAGCTGCCGGGATTAGAACCGGTGCCCATATGGGATCCCAGTGGTTCTAAGCGAGGACTTTAGCCACTAGGCCACCATGCTGGGCCCAGTTATGGAAATTTAAAGCAAGTTCTTGTTGGTGTACAGCACAAATTAGTTCTGTATGGAGATGGGGATTTTCTCATCTTCTTTTGATGTAGTTTATACAACTACACAAATGCAAAGAAAAAAGTTGCAGTATTTTATTGATAATTCCAAATGCTTCTTAGCAAATACATTTTTAAATGAAAATATTAAAAAGATTTCTTTTGGAAGATGTGGGAGTATGGGGAAGGTTAGGAAGAATAGAGAGAAAGAGAATCCTTAATTCATTGATGTATCTCCTGTCTTACTGTATAAATACTTGTTTCAGCCAAACTGAAGCTATAAACTGGGAACTCTGTCCTGGTATCTCATATGGATGGCTGGGACCTAAGTCTTTGTCTGTTCCCTTCCAGGGTGTGTGTTGTTAGCAGGAAGCTGGAATAAAAAGTGGCCCTGGGACAGGAACCCAGGCACTTTGAACTGGGTGTGCCAAGTACCTGCCCCTCAAGTGTGTGTGTGTGTATTTAACTGATTCGGGTGCAGAGTCAAAAGTATTTGAATGTCACTGGCCTAACCAAAGAAGTTTCTGGGTTGGATTATAGCCCTACTTACAAAACAAACTACCTTGTGGATTGGGGTAAAGACCTTATTGAAATATAGTGCAGATTTTTCCTTGCATTTTATGCCCTCCTTCAGTGATACAGGACATACACGGGACAACTTTTAGATAATTTGGGGATCACATGTGCCGGATCCGCATCAGAAACTGTATGAAGGAGCTGGGGAGTTTGTTGTTAGGTTTCCAGGAATTTTATAAATTTAATATGTACCATGTTGTTTTCTTGAAAAAGGCCATGATGGGAGTATTTAAGCCCAGGAAATAGACCCCATTTGAGCTAGCCCCTTCCCAAGCTGCCTGTAAAGCATTTGTTGATACCGCACTGATCATACATACTGATGATCTGGTTTTCCTATTGTCCTCTTTTCT